ATGTAATGATATTGTAAATGTTACTTAGAAAATACCATAGTATGGTAGTCACTATCTTCTAATATCGGATTCTACTGTATTTACTTAGTTAATGTTTTAGCAGCTATATTTATCTTTTATCTTCAAAACTGTGTGGTCCCAGAGACACTTTTGGTAATTATTGTGTTTATATATAAGGGCATAGCAGTATATTATAACAGTACAGCACACAAACAGTAAGGCAGACTGAACACCTATGGGCAACTGGATAGATTTAATCTATCTAGTATGTGTTTTATTTTTTAAAGACTATACGATACTATTGTTATGGTGACTTTATACTATAACTATTGATTTGTTGTAGAACTTTATTTTTTATTACAATCTATCATTTAATTCAGGAGATTAAGGCGATCGTTAAGATTAGCAACAATGTAGTAATTTATTGGTTTTACATCAGGTCTTTTTTTTTACAGTTTTGTAGTGTTTTATAGTTGTACTGGTTGTGACTTATGACCGAAGCCATGTTTATAAATAAAAAAATATTTTGTACTTTGTTTTCACTCATTTAGTTTTAAAAAATAAGTATACAGTTAGTAAATAGACTAGGGTGTTAAAACAATAAGTTTAATGCAGAAAATATCCTCTCCGCTCAGATTTTTTATATTATTATTTCTGAGAGAACGGTAAAGCTTTTTTTTTCGAATTCATATGTATTAGTACGACTTTACTTTTTGAAAAGCACATAAAATATATCGACCACACATGGTATTATTTTGTTGGCAATAAATCTTGTTTAAAGCTTTAAATGTCTAATACAAGCACTTGTTCCGACGTGTTAAAAAAACAGACAGTAATGCGGTATATATATATATATATTTTTTTTTTTTTTTTCGTCAATATTTAAGTGGCCATAAAATGTCTGATGAATAATACATAAATACTTAAGTTCTATCGATGGACAGAAAAGATATACACTGTATTGTGACTTAAGCTGTTATCGTAAAACTTTGACATTTCTTCAGTACTTACTTTATATTATGATGTTCACAAATACCTTTTTAATATATATATATATATATATATATATATATTGGACAGTAGTAAGATAATACTTGACACTTACTCAAAATTGCACACAGCAAAAAAAAAAAGAATACAGATATTATACTAGTTCAAGATTAGTCCATAAAATATTGCAATGCAGACCATAACATTTCTTATCAAAACATCGAATTTAATCACAATTGGATGAAAATGTATAAATATATATAAATGTTATTTATGGATGTACCAAGATCAAGTATCTTAATATATCAATGGCCATTTCCGACTATAACAATAATAATAGCGTAGATTGGTTTACACCTAATGGAAATTAAGGCGTTACTGTTGCAACCAAATACACGTTTGTGGTATACAACACCTATATATTTGGCTAGGTCTGTAAGGGGTTTGCATGTGGTCTATACTTAAAGAGTATAATAATAATATTTGAGAAAAAAGAGGTTTTAATAAATTTCGACCATGTCAATTAAATAACCGGTTAATTTGTATAAGCTTCGAGGAGTTATTTTTAATTTAAATCATTTTTTATGAGTCGAAGGCGTTTCGGTTTATTTTACACCAAAAAGTCAGACAACATTTAGACTACATTGGATGGTCCAAATTCAATTCTGTAAAGAGATTCGAGTTCTTCGGGTATTCTACTATTGTAAATTAAATTTGTCATTTTTTCAATATTAAATCTCAATTTTTTTACATGAAAAAAGCCAAAAATCTGCTTCCTACATAACCTAGTAAAGTTGCCAAAGATCACATCTTTTTTCACTGTTTAGGGGCAAAACAGTTTCAAGATAATTGGTTTATATATATTTGATGTCTAGATTGAAAGTATAACCGTTGTAATATTTTTCAAAAACAATAAAGTCTCAAAATGTGGGACCAGATTCGTGCAAGATCGACAATTAATAAGCTTAGTGTCGGTCGGTAAACAGACCTCGGTGTAAATCTTGCGCATCTCGGTATTAAATTGTGGAAAACACGATATTTATCAAGCGGTCTGTGTTGTATATAGCCCATTTAATATATTTAACCGCCTGGTCTGGCAAAGTCATTGTTTAACCAACCGGGGCAGAAATCATTGTCGCCCCTTTTCCAGCATGTTATGCCGCATAGCAGACCCATTATCGACCCATTTAGTCTATTTAGATTCTGATTTAGAATATCTGCTCTTCTGTATAGATAAACAATAAAAAAAAAAAAAAGGTAGCAATAAATTTCTAACTTTGTTGTTTAAACGGGTTTTTTTTACCATATTGTTCGGAATAGGAAAATAACAAAACACCGACTAGTCTAGCTAAAAAAACAATGGGTATTATATGGCCGCAAGAATATATACTTATACATATATTATCATTACAGCCTCCTGGTCGTACATAGTTAACCTTTAGCCGTACGGTATGTACAGGTACATATAGTATGTATATATACAGGGTGATCCAACTAACGTAAGACACTCATTTTCTCTGAAAATATGTAGTATATTTATTTATAAAGTCATAACTAATGAACAAATAAATGAAAGTTCAAACATATTTTTAAAACATTTTTTCTACAAATTTATGTAATTAAAAACATATGCTGTCGAAAAAATCCCCCTTTTTGGCTTATGTAAGGATCCGTGATAAACATTTTCAAATGTCTCACCCTGTATATATTCCATGTACTGTAAGACAGTTAAACACGTGTAGACCATATAAGACACACGGTAAACGCCTTTTGTCCATTATCTCACACTCTGGCCACGTACCGAAGAAAACGATGGCGAACCGTTTTTATATTATTTTTTTATTTTTTTAGAATTTTTGTCTCTGTACAAGCGGGGACCGATTTGCTCACACCGAAAGTTTTTAAATAATCGATAAGTACAAGCTATATATAGGTATAGCCGTGACTCTCTAAGCCATACGGTATTCCGCCCACGTCCGTTTGCCGGCAAAAGTCAGAAATCCTTTATTTCATTTTTGTATTTCTGTGTGTATGCGGTTTTTCTCTTTTAACGTTTCTAAGCCGGATGGATACGGCCATAGGGGCTATATATATATATATATATACAATATAATTTACCCCTATAACGCACAGGACGCCACAAACAACAATGTATATATTTTTTGGCCTTGTTGAGTTTTTTAAGAGTTTGTATTACTTATTTTTTATCGATTCCAAACACGCAAAAGCTCTTATATATAAATATATTAAAAAAAAACTATCTACCACCGGTTAGCAGCTTAACGAACCGTACACGTTGAATGATACATGATAAACACAGCAATGTTTACAAGTCTCATTATAATATTACATCTACATATAGTTGAAGACAATGTGTCATTTTTATACGTCATACACATTATGTCCACAACAATTAGGTATTTTCAGAGTTAACCCCTTCGATTGGTTAGTTTTTAACTACCAAAGTGCAATTCGCAGTAGAAATAATTTGTAAACATTTAAATATTTGATAAATGAACCCATCAGTCTCCATGTCGATCAAAAGGTATGATATCACAGGATATCCATCTGAATAATATTGTTGTTGTGGTTTTTCTCTTAAAACTCAAACGCCAACTAAGCGAGCAACGCGTTGTTATAATTCAAAGCTTTTTGTTTTTTCTCGGTTCAGACATTTTACAAACACAGCACGATTGTCTTCGTTTTCCGCCTTATCTATAGGAGTTGAGTATTCCGTTCTCGGCTTCCTATTTTCTGGTTTTTCTTTATACAATAGATGTATATACATCCACTAGAAGAAACGTGTAATGCACTATGTCTGAATACAGTATTAGACTCCCAATCATGTTTGCCCTCCTCCCCTTAAACATTTACTTTTCTTTATTTATAGTACAAACTCTCTTGTACGCGCCAGACAAAGAATGGTTACAAAAACTGGAAATTGTTTTAAACGGGTTTATTGTTCCATTTTCGTATCTACGGTCCAATAAACGTTATATTTGAATATCTTTACTAAATGACAATATAGACACTGGGGAAGGTACTTGATTTTGTGTGTGTGTGATGAAGTACATTTTATCCGCTTATAGAGTGTAGAAAATAATCTTGCAAACTTCCATGCATCAAAGTGTATTGACCATAGTTTATCGGTCTCTCGGGAGCCACTGAGTGATCAATCATTATCATAAATTTGTTATATTATATTATATTCGCCGACGTCGAAACTTTGGTATAAGCATTATAATATAATTCACAACATCTCCAAGTTGGTTAGTTTTTGGTCACTAAGATGGCAATTTTCATACAAAAACTAATTGGATTTTTGAAACATAATATATATGATATTGAAAATATGCCTATGGCTAAAACAATTGTCGTTTAAAGCGTTTTCATGATATTTTAGCTTTAGTGCTTGATAACTGAGAGATGGTATTGGTACTTTGTCGGATTAAGTATAGGTAGATGAAATCAAATTTTTCACCCTCAAAACCGGAAAAACCCAGTATATTAAACAGCACAGTCCTGAGCCAGTACAGTATTAATCGGCATAGAAGAAGTTAGCAAAGCAACTGTTAAATCTTAATGTGATCATCATTGTTCATGATCAAAACGCTTTAATGATAACCTGCGAATAACATAAATCCAGCACGGTATAATGCAGTGCAGTATCCCTGGGTGTTAATTTACATAAAATGCAAAATAAAAAAAGTACTTGTCCAAGTCCAAGTGTTAATATTTAGGTACGGCTGTTGATTTCCGGCACCCGGATAAAGTCCATTGCCATTGTGCTAAAAGGTCGAAACTTTTGATTGTGCGCAACGGTTAATTCACCAAGTTATACTCTATTTCACCCCTTCTGAAACTAATCATGCCACGCCAATTACACCACCGCATACCTTAAAGCCGTTCAATTTAAACTTTTGCCCAAATACGGGTATAATATTATCTTATATTTAACAGTAAACACAATAAAGTCACGCGTATTTTGATTGTTATTTTCTAGACAACAGCTACTGTGCTAAGTTAAGAAGGTACTCTTCTTCGTCTTCCGCCTGCTCGTTATACTCTTCTTCCGAACTCTTGTCCATATAAGTGACTTCCATCACTTCGGATTCGGTCACCATTTCTTTGTCAAGGCGTTTCAACCACGGTAGTATTCTTATCACGTCCAACCTGATTCCCGGTTTCTGGTCGTCGTCGTTGAAACCGTTAGATTTCACCACCAATGTTTCCAACGATTCCAGGCATTTCAACTTTTTTATTTCATGCACATTGGCTATAAGGTTCTCTCTATAATCGCAAACGACAGAGAGCAATGTAAACCTAATAGTACCTATTACCTAAGACATTTTTTGGGGGGGGGGGGGGGTTGACTCTGAACTAGTAACATTTCTTAGATACCATTGACATGTCAGCTAATGCAAATTTAGTTGGATTTAGATTGTAGCTTTTTAATATTTACCTGATGTTTAAATATGTCAAATTTTTCATCTTATCGGTAAAGCCGTTCAAATTCGATATGCAGTTACACCGAAGATGCAATCGTTTCAAGTTCACTAATCCTTCTATGCCCTTTAGAGTAACAATCTTATTGCTCCTCTATAAGAACATTATAATGACAAAATGTGTGTTATACCGCCAGTTGAATAGGTATATGTTTGTGAATCACTTTGAACAAGAAAAAACAAATTACTATACTTACCAAGTACAATATGCGTAACTTGGTCGACACTAACGAAATGTTTTCCATTGACGTTAAGGTATTCTTACAAATCGATAGCGCTATGAGTTTGGGGCAATCAATTCCATTGAAATAACCTTCCTTGAAACTTGTATCATCCTCTGGTTTCTTAACTATGGTGGTTATGTGATTTTCTAAAACATGAATCATAAACTTTATAGTTACATTTTTGAAAAAGATCATATAATTAAAACATTTGAGTTTTACTTTGCTATTCTACCAATTACTACAACAATGGTTATTTAGTACAATATTACAAAAAAGAAAATTATATATAAATAAATGTAGTAAACAATTTAATATTTATTAGAATACTTCAAATTGTTAATGGCCAAAAATAACTTTAAATATGATTATCTTATTATTAAAGTAAGACTTTTAAGCACTTATTTCTATATTCACTTACAGTATAAACTATTATTTTTAAACATTTAAGTCTTATGATTAAAATTTAGGCAAGTGCCTAATATTAATAAATAAGGTCCTTTGATAAAATGCATATATAATCTAAGTTTCTTGTTGAAAGTGATAGCAATGAATACTGACAGATGGCGTGGCATATATGGCTAAACTAATCAGTCTACGGTATTCATGTTCAGTCGTTGATTTTTTAAAAAAAAAATGTTGTCGTTTTATTTAGAGAAAAAAAACCATATAATATGTGTTTATTCTTGTAAATAAAGACATTTAAAAAAAATAAGTACAGACAAAAAATGATTGGTAGTATAAAGTTTGCCTGTATAATACTATAACGGTTATGTTTTATTAAAAAATAGAGCAGACATTAAGTATGAAATAATGAATTATAATTGTTTAGTAAAAATCATAACAAGTTTAAATTATGTAAGTTATTTTTACCTAAACATATAATATACTCTTTTGATGGTAAAAATACAATACTTTAGGTAAGTAATTATATTAAATAATATATACATTTAATAAATTGTATATTTTCTCAAGTCATTTATTATTTTTAAATGCCGTGCACATTATAATATAAAAAGTAATTATATAGTAAATCTAGCTTTTTTTTTGAGGGGGGGGGTGGAGGAGAGGCAAATTTCATATATTTATCATTCGATTAAATCAACGAATTTGTCGTTTTAAATATTACTGTAATAACTAATAAAACAGATTAAATTATTAGTTTTTCGTTTACAGTTGTAAGGGAAATTTTCATAAATAAAACTTAACAAGACATTTTTCAAAATTCGATTTTGTTGAATTGTGACTAAAATATGTCGTAGGTGTTCTTATAAATAAAAAAAAAATACTAGTCTAATATTGCCTAAAGCCATTATATGTATTTTATATTGCTTTCGACTTTCAAGTAAAATAAATACAATGCTTATTAATATTTTAAAAGAAAATCAATAAAATGGATTGTTTATATAACTCGTCGTAATACTGTTGAAAAAAAATAAAATAATTATTTATTGCAAAATGTAACTTAAAATTATTATTAGGTAAGCAGTCGATATAAACTTGGTGTATTTGACTTTATTTGTTAAACTTGCGTTACGCAACCGTGTTACTTATTTCGCAGAATTATATAATTTTAAAAACTACAAACATAAATATATTGGATTTTTTTAAAAGCACGTTGTTTCATAATTGTATAAATTGTACAACAATAATCACAGTGTACCTCATGAACTGTTGGGATTTCTTTTATTCTATTCCAAAAGTGTTTGTAAATCTTATTTTTCAGCTGGGAGCATACAAAAATATTTTTTACCATATAAGAAGATTCACATAAAATGGCCTACCCACATAAGCGTGCAATCCTTTGTAATGCAGTTAAACATATTAAATCTAGCATATACCTACACATCATATTATTATTATTATTACCCTTGTACGGTCGGGTCCGTTATATGGTTCTGCACGAGTACCCTCCTCTATACAATGATAATAATAATATTATCCACGCATATTATTATTGAAAAAACAAATTCGAATTCACCCCGTTTGCCGGCTATTTAAATTCGCATAAACCGAAGCGGTTGGGGTAACAAATGAAAAATGTAAAAAAAAAGGAGAGTGTGCACCTGGAATAGCCCCCCGCAGGGATCCAAATCGTCGGATCGTTAATATTTATCAACGATCGATATCGTTTCCGTGGGATTGATCCGACGGTATATAGGAAGGATACATTAGTAGGTTATATATTGTCATGGATCCAGGACAATGTTAATTAATAATCGAAATAGAACCCATCTTTATTGTGTCATTATAAATATTCCAAACGGATCGACCGAGTACTGTGAACCATATTATATACATTTATTACATATTATAATACGGTTTAAGAGTAGTGCCGGGTTTACCATATAGGTGTCCCCGGCAAAAAGGGTTAGGTGCCAAAATTTCAGTTTCCAGTTCAACACCCACCAAAAGCATAAGAGATTTCCGTACTCGGCAAAGATGGTTTCGATAGCCGAGTGATTGATGATGGCGGCGGTGCAAAAAAAAAATACCGACCGAGGGATACCAGGTGGCGTGGATTGGGAAAGACAAAAAAAAAGAAAAGAAACAATGACATTATCGAAATTTCGGCGAGTGATTGATAATGAAAATTCACGTCGATTTAGTCGAACCGGCATAATATTTTTCCAAACCCACCAACTCTAATGAAACGCGGCTCTATCTTTTTTTTTTTTCAGCAATAACAATGATATAATCGATTCGTACGACAGCCGAGAATATTAACATGATAATATTATCCTCGATAATTACCTCGAATAAAAATATATCCATATTGGCTTCAGATGATTGAAAAACGTGCTACGACGTTACATGATATTTCACCACAACTATTATTAAATACACTCTTAACATAATGTTTGTAGTGATAAGAATTATTTCTATTGTTATACTCAAGACAGGTAAGACATAATAATATTATCTAAATTACAAAATACAATAAATTATGATATTAGTTAACGATTCATTTAAATTTAACATCTGGTTAAATTAAGTAAGTTTTACCATAATATTATTACTATTAAATTCTCTTTGTTAAGTTAACAAAACGGTTAGTTGGGTTACCAAAGCGGTTATTTTGATACCAACGTTCTCGTTGGTTACCGCGAAATGTGACAACTGATAAGTGATAATATTATAGTCAAATCTCAATTAGTAATGTATAATTCGATATACGGCATTTTAACAATCTGATTAACTTTTTAACAATCTGATTAACTTGACAATCGTTCTAACAACGTGTTAAGAAGGCTAACAAATCTCGATGTAACCCAATTTTCACTAACTAATTGTTTAATATAATTAACATCAAGTTACTAGTTGCTGAAATCGGCTGATTTCAGCCGATTTCGTTACGTGATAACGTACCGTCATATCAGAGATATATATTATAAACTAGATTGCTAAGTTGTACTATGCCGCCAATAGAGATAATTGAATAATTACCATTTTCCGTCATCTTTGTGGGAATTAGAACCTTATCACATGTTTACTGTTACTGTTATCACCACTTATAACAATTACAATTGAAGCCAGAATTTTTAGTCTGTTCTGACTTACTTCCGACCTAGCAAACTAAATTTCGATTTTCGCTTAATTATTTTGATATTTACATAATATTTTAATGGTATTTATTGGTAAAAGTTTATATTATAGTGATGGGAATCTGAAAATCCGGATTTTCACAAAAAGCGCAATTTAAGCCACTTAAAAATCTTTTATAAGTATTAAAATATATGTTTACTATATAAAACATTGTACCCAAGTAAAATATTTTTAACGAAAATGTAAATAATAAAACACAACACCGAAAAGATAAATTGCTTTTGGATTTCGGATTTGTTGAAATCCGAAAATCCCAAAGCAGTTTATAGTCAAAGTTAAACTGTATTTTTATTTAATTTTCATCAAAACACTTTACTTGGGTATACAGCTTTATATAGTGATACTATTTAATACTTATAACATTTTTTATTCTAACTTAAATAGCGTTTTTATGTGAAAATCCGGATTTTCAGATTGTCATCAATAGTTTACACAGGTTTTATATTTTGTGGACAACAGTGTAAAATGTAAATTATTTAGATTAAATTACGCATTTTTTTACTTATCAGTTCTCATAATATATCACATGTTTTAAGGGGACTATGAACACTTTTGGTATTTTATTCCTTTACTAAGAGACCTGAGCTAATGAAATGTTTTTGTTGGGATAGTACACTCATATTTTATTTATGTAAATTAAGATCCCAAGTCAATCCAATTAAATACCTAAACCACTCAAGTTAAAGAGTGCCGCCATTGGGCGGCTGCATTTATTCATGTGTATCCAAGTCATTGTATTATTTCCGCTTACGGACTTATTGTAATATAATAATTACAGATTGTTTGTTTTACCAATAAAATGTTAAAAAAAAAAAATATTTTATTTACTAAGTCTAAAGGTTGAAAATATACATGTGTAGGTACATTTTTTATGCGGATTTTGTAATTTTTACCATGAATCATAAATACACTAAGGATAGTATAATTTACCAATGGTTGTGTATTGTAATTTGTACGAGTCTAAAAAAGTATAATAATATATTCACTGATTTTTGTGTTTCATTAGCAATACCTATCTTTGATGTCGATAATTGCAAACAACAATACAAAACACGTCCATTGTGTGTATGTGTTTATAATAATAATATGAGGGGTTCCTTGCCTTTTTTTTGTCTAATGGCCAAACACGAGCACGTACTCGAGATGTATAATAGGGTAAAAAGGGCGGATCGCATAAGCAGTTATATAGACTTTAATAGTACTCTAGGCCTGAACACTATGAACGGTTTCGATTTTCACATAATTCTCCCCATGGCGCTGAAAACACTAGGCAATCGTTTCTAGTGGAAAGAATAACACAATAAAAAAAAATGCCTATACCTAATCGTTACTGTGCGTTAGAGTTGTGCACAGTAAAAAGAAAATAAATGAATAAATGAAAGGGAAAAAAATGTCGAAGAACTTGCCCCGAATAAAATAATATTTGATAAATGATGTACAGAGCTTAACCCCTTCAGAGACTCGCATAAGGAAAATAATAAAAAACGAATGCGTGAAAGAGCATATAAAACGACAAATATGAAAAAAAAAAAAAATACCGTAGAAAAATTCTGACGTTTTTGTAAGAAAAATGAACCCGACGCTTTTCAAAAAGAGTATTTTAAAACATTAATTCTACACCGTAAGCACCCCCCCGTGGGAGATAAATGTTGTTTTGGTCCCTTGAAATCGTACATTGTATAAACATGTGTACACCACCGGCTCTTATCATTAAGAAACTTTTTTTTATATTTCTTTTGTCCATTAAACAGTCATTGTTGCGTGTAAGCCGTAACCGCCGTATTTTGTTTAATCCACATTAACAATGTTCACCTTTGCCAAAAAAAATCTTATTCCAATACACATTCTGTACATATTTTATACACATCAAATACCAACAACTGTCGTGTGAATTATAATACCATTTCATAGATAATCACAATCGCCAACTACTTCAGCAAATTATAAACTGTAAAGTGCATTAAATTGCACTTTCGGTTTCACCGCAAGTATTATTAAATACACTCTTAACAATATGTTTGTTGTTACAATTCATTTAAAATTAACATCCGGTTAAATTAAGTTAGTTTTACCATAACATTATTATTATTAAATTCTATTTGTTAAGTTAACAGAAAGGTTAGTTGGGTTACCAAAGCGGTTACCTTGATTTCAACGTTCTCATTGGTTATCACGAAATGTGATAACTGATAAGAGATAATATTATAATTTTATAATCAAATCTCAATTAGTAATGTATAATTTGATCTACGACATTTTAACATGCTAATTTACTTTTTAACAAGCTGATTAACATAATAATCGTTTTAACAACATGTTAAAGAAGGCTAACAAATCTCGATGAAACCCAATTTCCACTTACTAATTGATAAGTATAATTAACAGTAAGTTAAATACATTGAATTAAATGATAAAGTATTAGATATAACATGCTAGGATATTATTTTCTTAAAAATTAAGTATGAAAATATTGGTCAAAAGACTTAAAACGTAAATAGACATTTAACTATCAACTTTTGATAATAAAAAACGAGATGGGATAAAAGAAATTATTACTTATTATAAAAATGTATTACATTTTTGGTAAAGTCTAAACCAGAAGTACATTATTAGAACGGTAAAATTGTATTTTTTAACGGAAGACTGTGACCGCTTTTATGTCAAAATTCTGTTATGTATATATTTATTTGCCAATTTATGTATTGCGCTTGACTGTCGGTAATGACGTTTGCTTATGTACATTCGTTGTAAAAAATTTTAAGTAATATATTTTTTTGGGAAAACTCGAGCAATCAACACATAACACTGGGATTGGCCTAAGGAGACTTTATCATTATTGTACATTACTCAGGAAACGTCTTCTTTTTTTTTTGTTTTAATTAAAAATATATAAATTAACGCAAACCCATTTTTTAAAAATTCGTCAATTGAAAATGAAAAAAAAAACATAGATTTATTTGGTATAATATAGACAGTTTTGTCTTGAACAATTAATTTTAATTAATTTCTAAAAAGTATTAGTTTTATTTTTAATTAAACCGATTGAGGGGGAGGGGGGGTGTAACAACTAGATAGGATTTGGTTTTTAATTAAATACAATTGACTTAATCTTATAAAGAACACCGTTAAGAAACGTAATAAGATTTTAAACAGTTTTTTTTTCAAAAGCTAGGTTTTGTAACCTTATAGCTGTAACAATAATAATAACAAATAAACACGTTTACACACTTTACACACGACTTAACGACAACGGCCAAGGAGCTGCTGCTGTAACCCACGTCTAACGTTTAATTTTTGTTAAACTGACATGTGTTAAATTTACAAGTGTTGTTGCTCAGTCGTGGTTTTATATTCAGGTAACTACCAGTATACTGGTTAACGAATAAATGGTATCAGCAGTACCAGAGTTAATATTGTTATCATACAGGGTCTTATCAATGATAAACTGATAACGCACATTTCCATTATCACCACTTTAACGCAACACATAGATAAGAAACTATACATACCTTTTTATGCGGCGATAAATGACACTGTAATTTAATAACTAGTGATAAAGTACATTTTTAACAACAGATCAAATTCAAAACACGGTTTATGCGACAGAATTCATTTTAACTCCAGTTGAACCTGAACGAGCTGTTTATCTCTGTGTAAATATTTGGAGTGCAACCCGGCAATAAGAATAATAATAACAATAAACATAGTCTACTGGTGTTTCGGCGGTTTCCTTAAGGTAAGTATGTGTGTGTATTGGGTAAACGTGTGCAAGTCGTTAGCACGGTTGATCCTGGGTTGTTTTTTAATTTTTCTCGGTGGTTTTTTCTTGTATTATTATACTCTGTTGACCCCGGCGACTTGTTACACGTCGTAAACACGACAGAAAACGACCCCCTCCCCCACGCCGCCCACCAACAGCTGTCTGTCAATTTGCAGGCGACACATATCATATACTTACCCTTCTTAAGTCCTCTTTTTAACTTGGCCGGTTGCTTTATCTAAACGAGATGGGACCGGCGGCGTCGTCACGTGTTAATCATTTAAACGCGCGCACCGGTAGGTTTTTTTTATTTATTTTACATTAGTATTATATATATTTTTTTTTAATTTTACCATTACTGGATACGCACTTCATTTTTTTGTAGTTTTTAATACCAAAAATATGCGTCCGGGTAAAACAACGGCGGTTAGGTCCGAAAATAGAACCGACGAGGAAGTCTTCACACGCGTTAAGTGACGACGACACGTCTTAACGTCATGTAAAGTCACAGAGCGACTTTAGGGGTGGTCGAAAACCGCAAAAAAAAATCCACGAAAATTACGTGTAAAGTGGTTGGCTCTAAGTAACTACTAATGATAATATGTTCTGGCGTTAATTATTGTAAATGTGGTGTAACTCCAAATTGTTTAAAATATACATATTTTTGCTTAAAACCAAAAAATGTTCCTAACAGGCTAATCGCATATTATCTTAATGCCGGGTTGCACTAAATATTTACACAGAGATAAACTCGTTTAACTCGGGTTAAAATAAATTCTGTTGCATAAACCATGTTTTAAATTTTATCTGTTGTTCAAAATGTACTTTATCACGAGTTAAATTACAGGGTCATTTATCGCTGTGTAAATATTTATTTATAGTTTCTTATCAATGTTTTGCGTTAAAGTGGTGATAATGTAAATGTGCGTTATCAGTTTATCATTGATTAGACCCTGTATGATAACAATATTAACTCTGGTACTGCTGATACCATTTATTCGATAACCAGTATTCTGGTAATAACCTGAACATAAAACAACATTTTTAAATACCACCAAATGGTATTTTTTACCACTTGGTGGTTTAAAACAATAATTGTATGTGCTGAAGAAAATAAGATAATCTTAATTAGGATTAAACGAAAACAAATCCATAAATTGTTAATATTTTGTTTCAATAAAGGTGAAACAGTAGCATTGTAGTATTTACACTATACAACAAGTATAGTGTAAATATGTCGGTGAACTGCATTTTATCGAAGTGACAAACTATACTGGTTAAAATTTGTCATATCAGAGTTTATGTACAACTTATAAGTCTAACTTTTGAGTCAGGCAACAAAAGAAAACTTAGTACATAAAAATACGGTTTTTGCAGCATAAATAAGCATTGAAAAGATGAAATGCAGCGTTGCTGTAGAGGATTTATTCTGAGGGGGGAAATAATTCCCTTGGCACCCGTTGACAAGCGATATGTCTTTTGTATACTATGGCACATTGTATTTGTGCCAAAAAAATAAAACTGCAATGTGTGAACTTACTATCCACATGAATATGTTGCGAAATAAAGTATAAGACAATTCGCTAAAACTTTTTTCAAACGTAACATTGTATTATACTTACAATAGTACAATAATTATTACGGCGCTGACCTATTTAACGTTATATTTTTCAACATAGATTGATTTGTAGACTTAAACAATGAGGCAGCTTTTATACTAATGTATCTGTGAACTCTGATAATTTGACTTTTCGCTTTTAACAGTACTACTATGTGTGTGGATTAAAGTGGTGATAATGGAAATGTGAGTTATCAGCTTATCATTGATGAGACATTGTATGATAATAATATTAACTCTGGTACTGCTGATTACATTTTTTCGATAACCAGTATACTGGTAATAACCTGAATATAAAACTGGAAATTAAATAAATTGAGCAACACTCGAAAAATTGTACTCATGTCAATTTAACAAAAGAAAAAGTTAAACAAAAGTTAGTTTATAAATAAATATTATTATTGGTAAATAATTTACCAATAGATAACGACAAGTTTTGTGCAACGGGCAACCGGGCATTAGTGTTTTTTAAGTACAGTTGGTACGCCCACACCGTTCGGAATACAATAATTATGGAGACAAGCATTGTTGCCAAAATCAAGAAAAAATTCAATTAAAAAATCGTGCTTAATGTTAATGTAAAATAAAAAATCATCTAGCCTTGTACCGTTATATTATACTATATGATACACGACGAAGGTAATGTAAAATTATTGTTAGAATACAAAAAAAAAATAAAAAATAAAACCCGCGCAATTTATAAACTATATAATATACAACGAAAATATTATACTCGGTGGATATGACATATCTTCTATTATTACACCTGTTGGTAATTGAATGCTTCCAATAAATCGCGCACCGTGCAAGGATAAAGGACGTGCTTACATATATGTATATATACAGGGGGGACAATAGACTAATATGTTACATTGCTCGTGTGACACTTGACCGTCTCGCTGGCCAAAGATGGTGATTTTTTCTTGATAAATTACGCTTTATAAAAAAAAATGTATATAAATAAATACATAATATCATCTTATATGTCGTTATACACGCATCGTTTGCGTTTCTATATACTTATAAAATATATTATTTAAAAAAAAAAGAAAAGAACTACACCCCGTGTCTTACCGTTCAACGACAGACACTCCAACGACGGTTGCTTGAGACCAGAAAGCGACGACACCCTGTTAAAATTTAGGGTCAAAACCTACGGATAAAAGGAATATTATATTATGATACGAAAATATTATCTCTTGGCGTTGTCACGAAAATAAAATAACGTTATTAATGACAAAAAATGCAGATTAACGATAATGGTAGCTTGTCATATCACACACACACACACAAGTCCATTATATTATATTATACTATATAAATATCTCACCTTTAAATAAGGCATAGAAGTCAAATGAAGCGATTCGACTGAATTGTGGTCAGCGTATATGATCAACGCGTTTTCTAAACCTTTGAGTACGTCCAACGCTTCCAAATCCAAATAGTTGCACGACACGTTTACGAACGACAAAAACTTAAACGACGGTATTACTTCAATGTTGGTGAGTTCTCTAAAAAAAACCACCGTTATTTGGTTTTTTTAATGAATAAAATTACAATATTTACCCTTTACAATAATATATTATAAGTGACATTCGTAAAAAAAATATACATAAATATATACATAACAGAATTTTGACATAAAAGCGGTCACAGTCTTCAAAACCTAACTTTTGAAAAAAACTGTTTAAAATCTTATTACGTTTCTTAACGGTGTTCTTTATAAGATTAAGTCAATTGTATTTAATTAAAAACCAAATCCTATCTAGTTGTTACACCCCCCCTCCCCCTCAATCGGTTTAATTAAAAATAAAACTAATACTTTTTAGAAATTAATTAAAATTAATTGTTCAAGACAAAACTGTCTATATTATACCAAATAAATCTATGTTTTTTTTTTCATTTTCAATTGACGAATTTTTAAAAAATGGGTTTGCGTTAATTTATATATTTTTAATTAAAACAAAAAAAAAAGAAGACGTTTCCTGAGTAATGTACAATAATGATAAAGTCTCCTTAGGCCAATCCCAGTGTTATGTGTTGATTGCTCGAGTTTTCCCAAAAAAATATATTACTTAAAATTTTTTACAACGAATGTACATAAGCAAACGTCATTACCGACAGTCAAGCGCAATACATAAATTGGCAAATAAATATATACATAACAGAATTTTGACATAAAAGCGGTCACAGTCTTCCGTTAAAAAATACAATTTTACCGTTCTAATAATGTACTTCTGGTTTAGACTTTACCAAAAATGTAATACATTTTTATAATAAGTAATAATTTCTTTTATCCCATCTCGTTTTTTATTATCAAAAGTTGATAGTTAAATGTCTATTTACGTTTTAAGTCTTTTGACCAATATTTTCATACTTAATTTTTAAGAAAATAATATCCTAGCATGTTATATCTAATACTTTATCATTTAATTCAATGTATTTAACTTACTGTTAATTATACTTATCAATTAGTAAGTGGAAATTGGGTTTCATCGAGATTTGTTAGCCTTCTTTAACATGTTGTTAAAACGATTATTATGTTAATCAGCTTGTTAAAAAGTAAATTAGCATGTTAAAATGTCGTAGATCAAATTATACATTACTAATTGAGATTTGATTATAAAATTATAATATTATCTCTTATCAGTTATCACATTTCGCGGTAACCAACCGAGTGTATTTAATAATAGTCGTGAAAATAATAGAAAACTGTGTCGTTGATTTACCTGCAAACGGCATCGATTTGAAGAAAGGCATAATCGAACGATCCGGCCACTTGACCAATCCTAGTAAGACACTTGCCGGCTTCTTCAACTGTCAGAACACATTTGGGCAAAGCATCTTCGTCCACTAGCGATTTCTTATTCTGCGCACCGAAACGTATAAGAATAATGTTTTATTCAAATTATTGAATCAATCCTACTATTAAAGTGGTTGTTAACTATCATTACTATGTCAATTATTTGAGGCTTATTAGAACAATGGCCCAATTTTGAGTTTTGGTTTTTTCTTAGAGACACTTAAAACTTTTTTTCTGGGTACAATTGTTTTTAACGAAAACTTTATAACTTCGCTTAATTTATTACCACTCAATGGGTTGATTTAATTTATAAAATATTAATTTAGCCAAAGGAATTTTTGAAAAGGTGTAAATTTGGGCCTTTGTTCTTATAAAAACTTTTAAAATTAAACGTTTATATTTATACCTATTTACACTTGGTCTGTGTATTAAAATAAAAGTGTCATACAGAAAACAATATTAACTTTGAGAATATTACAACATTTAAAAGTAGTTATCATAATATTTTACTTTGTAAGACTTTATTAATCACAGTTGTACTTTGGTTTATAAAACATAACACTTATTCAGCCGGTTTCACCAACAGTTATTAAATACACTCTTAACATAATGCTAGTAAACAGTTTAAATATATTTGACATCTGGTTAAATTAAGTAAGTTTCACCATAATATTATTACTATTAAATTCTATTTGTTAAGTCAACTAAATGTTAGTTGGGTTACCAAAGCGGTTACCTCGATTCCAACGTTCTCATTGGTTATCACGAAATATGATAACTGATAAGAGATAATATTATAATTTTATATTTAAATCTCAATTAGTAATGTATAATTTGATCTACGACATTTTAACATGCTAATTTACTTTTTAAGAAGCTGATTAACATAATAATCGTTTTAACAACATGTTAAAGAAGGCTAACAAATCTCGATGAAACCCAATTTCCACTTACTAATTGATAAGTATAATTAACAGTAAGTTGAATACATTGAATTAAATGATTAAGTATTAGATATAACATGCTAGGATATGCAACTGATAACTGATAATTGATAGTATTATAATCAAATTTCAATTTGTAATGTATAATTCGTTCTACGACATTTTAACATGCCAATTAACTTTTTAACAAGTTGATTGACTTAACAATCATTTAACAACATGTTAAGAAGGATAACAAATCTCGATGAAACCCAATTTTCACTAATTAATGGTTAATTAAATATAATTAACAATAAGTTAAATTCTTAACAAATGTTGGTGAAATCGGCTGATTATGCTCTTTTTCTAGTAAAATAAAATTATGTTTTGTTCCAATACACTACCACAAAAAGGTCATTTTTATAAGAAAAAAACCAATTTAGACATAATAAGTGTCTCAACTATTTGACTATACACTTTTTTAAATTTTTCGCATGCATGGTATCTTTTGTATTCGTCGTAAACGCATTCTTCTTCGTATTCACCTTCATACCATTCCTTGGCGTCCGGAAACATCTCGCTGATAACAGCTGAACCTCCATCGGTGAAGTCCTCTTCTCGTTCTGGCACAGTGCTGTTGTCTTTTTTCCGATTAAGTCTATACTTTTTTGGCAATGCCTGTGAACAAGTATCACCTCAATATATCTACCTACTCAATAATATTGCATACTTTTACATTGCTCACATCTCCACCAGCTCGATCCATGATTGTAATTTGTAAAACTGTGATTTATCAACAACAACGTAGGAAAGAAAAAATATTTTATGCAAAACGAATACACAGTTAAGTGACTCCTCGACTGTTGCCTTGGATATAAATCAATTAATTTTGAAAACATGTTTCTTATAGTGGAAGTGTGTGTTGGTTTGCATATTATTATTATGTATGATTAGTATATTATACGGTTTCCGTTACACGTTTTTTTCTTCTTCTTAACGCTTTGTCGCAACCGAAATAGACTCAAGAAAAACGACCAAGGGATGTGTTTACTTACTATGTGCAGGTCGTTGGTCTCTTGCTAAACCCTTTCTGGCGTACATTGGGAGAACGGGATTTCGAAAATACAGGGAGTTATATTTTTAAAATTTATTACCGGAGAGAGAGAGAGAGATGTAAAAAGTATATACAAGAAACCCGATATGTTACACAGTGTGGTGTACTAAAAAATATGACGTTTTTCCATATTACGCCAGATGCACTACTTCACATTTTTTTTGTGTGTGTGTGTCTAGTTATGAGTGTTTTTTCTCTTTAATTTTAATTTAAACTTTTACTCGTTACGATCAAGATGTTAACTCTCTCTCCAGAAAAATACTAATAATACTTATCGTTCATATTACACGAGAAATATTACTATGCGGTGAAAAATGTCAACCGGCTTTTTTTTTATTAATTTGTCATTTCCTAATCCCGTTTCTGTCGTCATTCTAGATTACAGTACAGACCACACAATTCTGTAACTCTCAAACTGCGTGTTCCAAATCACAGAAACATAATGGACAAATTTTGATAACTGACAATGTAAACATTGTAAACTATTATTAAATACACTCTTAACATAATGTTTGTTGTCACAATTCATTTAAATTTAACATCCGGTTAAATTAAGTAAGTTTTACCAAAACGTTATTATTATTAAATTCCAATTGTTAAATTAACAAAAAGGTTAGTTGGGTTACTAAAGCGGTTACCTTGATACCAACGTTCTCGTTGGTTATCACGGAAAGTGATAACTGATAAGTGATAATATTATAATCAAATCTTAATTAGTAATGTATAATTCGTACGATGGCACTTTAACATGCCAATTAATTTTTTAACAAGCTGATTAACAAATCTCGATGAAACCCAATTTTCACTAACTAGTTGTTAAATATAATTAAAAATAAGTAAAATTCTTAACAAATGTTGGTGAAATCGGCTGATTATATTATGTCTTTGGTTTCACTCTGAAAAGTCTTGTGCATTTTTTAAACGTTTATCGATACGAAGGTTATAAAACAAAATGTTGTAAGCCCTATATTTGTGTCATAAACATAATTGAAACGACAATACACAATTAGCTTTCCGTTTAAAACTGTAAACGTCAATAATGTATAGGCGTGTGAGATGGAAAATGCATGATGGCATTTTATCGTTCGGGAATCTTCGGTTCGTTGTTGTATAATTAATTTTTTATTAACAAAAAAAAATGTCCGTAGTGCATCGAAATTTATGTATAGCTGACAACGGTTATGATTGTACGAATGATAATAGTATAATAATTATTGCAATCATAATAAGCAGCCGTAACGATTGCTTGATATTACTACTTAGTTGTGATAGTAAACATATATTGTATAAAGGCCACAAGGTGACAAGACTGTGGATTGTTTTTTTTTTTTTTAGTCCGTATGTCTTATGTATAATAAAATCTAAGTTATACGTATGTATTTAATAATATGTATAAATATATTTTTATGGATGTCAATGCACAATGCGTGTGCGCGTTTAAAAAGGTGAGAGAGAGAGATAATTGGATTTTAGATTTGTGCAGTAAAAACGTATATACACCGAGTTCCAGATGATGATGATGGGGGGAGACGGGAATGGCCTATAGAGGAAATAATAAGAAAATATTCGCATGAAATCGGTGTCTAGACTTGGCAAACGACTTTGGAAGCGATTCACAATTGTAAATCATGTGCCAACTCGGACAATCAAAATCGTGCGAAAGAAAGACAAAAACGATAAAACCCCGAAGAGGTAATGTAATGACGGTCGACGAGAGAAAATGGCGTTTGAGAGAAAAAAAATACACAACACAAGTAGGTACATAATATTCCTATTTAAATTAAGATTTAATTTCAGATAGCACATAACAACAACAGTACAGTAGACACGAGCCACAAACATGCCTTTGCCGTTTTCCCCAAGAAAATTACATCAAGGTGGTGTAAGTATGCAAAACCATAATAATATTATGTTCATCCTTAGCTGATGTTTTAATTTTATGCAAAAAAACCTATTACCGTAATTTTTTTCATGGCCAATCTTAGAAATAGAAAACTACTTGAAAAGTTTTCACCCTACTAAAGAGTGTAGATACTTAAGAGTGCTGCAATTGAATTTTAATGGTTCTAAAATCATATTTTTACTAGCCACAGTACTTCGTTATCCCCTTTTTTTTTATACAGGGAAGGTTATAATATTTATATTAGATCTATTAGTCACTTATGTCTACTTATGTCTTAATTATGTTCACTATCAATACATCAACATTTTCTCTGAACTATTGAACGACGGTTATTTCTAATACAACAATTAAATGTGAAAACATAATGGCTCGTTAAAAAAAGTCACGTTTGTCTCTATAGCAAACTTTTACAGAAGAGTTTCAACTGAAACGGTTTTCTTAAAAATGAAAACTCTCCAGACATAATACCGGTACAGTAGAGTTTCCAAGAAAATTGTTCTTGACTTTTTTGTCATTAAATTGATATATATAAGTTTTGTATTGACTTATAACCGCAATGTCATTATGTTTTCCGTCCCACAAGTTTCGATACTATAATACAGTTTTATTGCTTTTACTTTTGAAGAAAGATATTTACAGCCAACAGCATCGGTATCGATTGAGTTCGACGTCTACAAGAACAGTACTTTATTGTAATAGTCATTTTATTATCGAGAACAATATACAGTATTAAAAGCAAAAATGGCAATTAAACTTAAGACCTAAGGCGATTGCATGCGGTCTGTACTTAAGGAGTTTTTATATAGACAATATTTAAGAAAAAAAAGAGGTTCTGATAAATTTCGACCATGTCAATTAATTTAACCTATTAAAGTTGCCAAAGAACATAATATCTTTACAAAATTGAAATGGGACCGTCCCGAGTAATAGAAATTTCGACGGAACCCCTCATATCGCATTTTACGACCAAATCATGTTGGCCACACTGTTCAATTTTAATTTACCCGGGTAATCGACTGGTGGGCTGAGATTTATGGATAAAATCAATAGATAATTAATTATTAAAATCACAGTCTATACGAAAACAGATAGCTCATTCGGCATGTAAACAAAAAACCAAGACGTCACGTGACCAAAATGAAATCAGTGTGACCACAGATATGAGTATAACATTTCGTGTAATGTGTTTCGTTATAGTAAATAGAAGTTATAATTTAAATCTTATGGTTGATAAGAAGTTAATAACTGTACAATAAACTATACTAATCCATGCGGCTACACTGATACCCTTATCAGCGCAGCCCTTATGATTTTAAACATTTTTGTTTTGTTCTGTGCTAAAAATCGAATAATTGATTGTTCATTGTTATAATGTCACTGAACGGTAATTGAAACTGATTTTAAAACGAGAAGAATGAGCTGAACGATGTGTTAATGCGACGATATTTTGTTAGAATTTAGATGGTGAAAAAAAAACAAAATATTCTATTATATTATTTTAAATAAAGGCTCAGCTTTGCAGTATTTCCAGGCAGGTATGTACTCTCTCTCTCTCTCTCTGATACTGATTTGTACCACAATGCGATAATTTTTGTCCGGCGACAGTGTATCTGTGTAGCCTCCGGACAAGTCTGAGTGTTAGGTTTCGTCAGCTGTGGTTGCAGGCCATTTTGCACACACAAACGCTGCTTTTGTCACCGTCGCCGCCGCCTTCGCTGGAACAATCGAGGCGCCAAATCTGTACACAAAAAACGTTTGGCGCCAAAACCGAATTAAACCATAATATTATACGAAATGAATGATTTGTAATTTTGTAAACCAAAATCTTAACAACACCGCGGGAAAAACGGTCCCACGCCAAAGACACGACGTCGGTGACACCGGCAGTTGCACCGGCATCACCAGCGGTGCTATGACTGCTCTTTATCTGGGTCAAATACTATACCTATACAATAATACCAACTACTACTGTTATTATTTTACATTATTATACCACCGCAATGACAATTATAAAATATTAATGCCCGGTCGCACCAAACTTGTTGTTATCTATTGGTAAATTATTTATCACCGTTATAAAATTAGTAACTTTTGTTAAACTTTATCTTTTGTTAAATTAACATGTGTTGCTAAAACGTTGTTTTATATTCAGATTATTACCAGTGTACTGGTTATCGAATAAATGGTATCAGCAGTATCAGAGTTAATATTATTATTATTACACAGGTTCTTATCAATGATAAACTGATAACGCACATTTCCATTATCACCACTTTAACGCAAAACATTGATAAGAAACTATAAATAAATTTTTACACAGCGATAAATGACCATAATATTTAACTCGTGATAAAGTACATTTTTAACAACAAATCAAATTTAAATCATGGTTTATGCAACAGAATTTATTTTAACCCCAGTTAAACGAGTTTACCTCTATTTGGTGCAACCCGGCTTACTCTGTAATAGAAATCATTTTTGTGTCGAATTTCAAGTGTAATCTAATGATTTTTTTAAGGTTTTTTATTTGTAATAATTTGCGTCCATTAACACGTACCTATAGACAACACAATAGACATTCAAATATCAACTTGTATACAATTCTAACAAAATGCATTTAAAGATACAACGACGGCCGTTGAATGATAATAAACAAACTGATGATAAGGCTATACTGGTGTAACGACATACTTGACGACCATTAGGATTAAACATATGTTTTAAATAAATGTATGTATTCATTATATTG